TACTCAGAGGCACAACATATCAAAACTTTAGCCAAAACGGACAACAACTCGATTTATGGTGAATTTATTACGGTTCAGCAGCATGCTCGGTTTAGAAAAATCATAACGCCCTATATACAACTCGAAATGACCTCAAACAAAAACCAATACATCAAGGACAAATCTAAGTACCTATAACTCCTGGATTTCCACGAAATATACCACGTTAAATTCAGTTCGACAATAATTCAAAGTGACGGCAATCATTTTGATATCCAATTTGCAAATATATATTAAAATTCTCACAAATACTTATCTAAGGCACTTATATAATCATAGAACACATTAAACAACATAGGCACATACACATGTATTTGTAAAATACATTCAACATCCAAGTGAACACACAACATAAACGAGACGGGTCGAGCCTTGTACCATTCTCGGGAAACGCGAGAATGGCTCGAACGGAAAAAGGACGGCACGACGGCTCACTGGAAGCTCAGGCTCGCGTCGCTGGTGAGGTGAAGAGAGCTCGAGTCGCGGGTGAGAGGTCGCCGGTTGGTGCGCGTCGCCGGAAGTTGTAGAGATTCGGGACGCGCGAGCTCGGTCTGCGGGGCTTAATCGCCGGAAATTCGAAGGTCGTGGCGCGACGATGAAAGCTCGCGGTGGCCGGTAGTTCTGAATTGAAAACAGTCGCAGGTGAGCGGGGGATGGTGGTGACGTGATTCTGACAAGAGGAAGGTGATCGGCAATTGGGATTTCCAGCGACGCCGAGGTTTGGCTGACGGGTCCCTTGCGTGATAGCGTGAGAAGGTAGATGAAGATCGGTTTGAAAGAGAGGAACAAATATTGAGAGCGAGAGATGAAGGAGCAGAGTTGAAAAAAAAACTGCGCGTCGAAGTTTTTTAGGGCAAGAGAAATATTCTGACTGCGGTTTTGAGTTAGGGCTTCTCTTTTTTTTTTCTCCACAAGACACACGTGCACAAGGACTGGAAAACGGGGCTGGGCCGGGTCGATTTCGCGGGTGGGCCTGTTCTTGCGAAGGCTCAAGGAACGAATCGGCTCTCGGGCCCGACTAGACGTAAAATAAATTCGGTTTGGCTCGAAAATTAATTTGGACGATAAAAATAAATAACCCGGATATTATTCACATTTATAATACACAAAATGTAATTTTTAAAAATAATGATATTAATAAAAATACAAATACACATTTTAATTAAATAATGATAATATTTAGACAATTAGGCATTTAATTACAATTTGACAGATAATTAATATTTAGACATTTAGACAATTAAATAAATAATAATAGTAATAATAATAATAATTATAATAATAACAATAATGATATATAATTCCCAAAATAATCCATATTCAAACGGGTTTACGAGTCGGCCAGTTTCGACTACCGGTTTATCGGCTCAATTTCATGAAATCCGATCGTATACAACGCTCGGAAAATAAAATAAAAAGAATACAATAACAATATTAATAATGCCGAAATATCCGAAAAATCCGTTATTCAAATGGATTATATTCGGTTTACGTGATTAAACTGAAATCGCCGAGCGACGAACGTTTTTCAATAAAACGATCGAGTACTCCAACCTTTTATTTAAATCGACATAGCGACCAATAAATTAAATATAACCTTATAAATAATATTCAATAATAGAATATTCCAAGAAATTCTATAAATCGAACGGGGCGTTACAAGAGAGTTAGAGAAGATGATGAATTTTTGAGGGAGGGAGGAGGATGAGGCGAGTGGGAGGTGAGGGAATGAGGGAGTTTCTCACTTTAATGGCTAGGATTGTAACCTCCCCTCATTAGTTGGTCAAAGGCACAAAATAAGGGATGGACTTTGATTTGAAATTTTAATTCAAAAGTCTTTTAGAAGCATTGCATGCATGGTGATAAGGGAGGAAAAACCGGTTCTTGGGGCGAGCCAGCGGGCGGGGTTTTCGAGCGGGTTTGGTCCGTCGGTTCGGCTTGGTCGCTATCTCAGTTCGAAATTCCGGTTAGTAACTATTATTCAGTTCGTTCGAAAATTAAAATAATAACACAATTCGGCTCGATATTAATAATTATTCAATTATACAATTAGACAATTACGAGCACATAATCGAAAAAAATAATAATCGAGCACGAATAAAATAAATCTGGAAAAATAAATTAATAATAATAATAATCTCAAAATAATTCGGAACAAATGGGGCGCTACAATCTACCCACCTTAAAAGGAATTCCGATCTCGGAATTCGAAAACAAAAGAAAACTAACGAACTAAAAGAATACAAAGGGATTCAAAACGAGAAAGTCGAGAATCTCCTCCTAATCTCGGCCTCCTTCACCCAAGTCGTCCCGGACTCGCCATGTCGGCTCCACTGCACCTTCACAATGCTCACTGCCCGGTTTCTCAGCTGATGGACCCTCTGGTCCAAAATGGCCATCGGTGCCTGCTCATAGGTAAAGTCTCGCCCACGGGGTCCGGGTCATGCACATATCTATGCAACATCGAGACATGAAACACATCATGCACAGCTGATAAATCCGGTGGTAAAGCTAGCCGATAAGCCAAGTCCCCGACTCGAGTAAGGATCTCAAAGGACTAACCACACACGACAGCGGATCCATATTTACCCCAAACCAAGGTATGCCTCATCTCTAGTCATACAAAAGGGGAGACTCGAATGGTACCATCAAGATACTCGCTCGATACACAAAAACAGAAAACGACCCACCCAAGGTGAGAAATCCCAAAACGCAACACACAACATGCACACACGACCTCAACAGGTCTCATAGTGCCTCGACCGTGAGATCATCGGTCAAACAATCATGGTCGACACGTGGAGTTGAGTTTCAGCATGGTGCCCAAGTCATGCTGAAAACTTACCCACAATCTCGATACATCCGTGACTTCTTGCCGAAGCGATTGTCATGGTAGCTGTGTACCTATGCACGTAGTATTGCCCCGCTATACTCATACTTAAAACACACGATTCTACGACACCAACGTAGCCCCTCATGGCTCCGTTTACTGGCAACACAAGTCCCCTACCTTGCCATCTCGAGAAATCCTCGTAGATGCATAAGAAACCTATCGACTACGCTTCCTTATCAAAACCATCGATCAAGGATGCAAACGCAGTTCGGTGGAACTTGGAACTCTCAGTGGTCAAACCGTCTGGAAGAAAAAAAAATAAAATGGACGTTAGAATTTCTAATGCACTGTCCTCTGAGAGGCGACACGCTCGCAGGCGTTGCATATGCGGGGTGCCAGGACGCTCACGAGCACCTGTTCAGAGACCAGCCGCAAGGTCAAGGTTTGGCCGATCACGCTGGCCTGGAAGTTTCGTGTGTCCGGTGATGGCAGCTGCAGCTTGCGTGTGAGTCAACGATCGCCCGCGCACAAGCCTATCGTCTATCAGCACGGGCATACACGCTTGACCACCACTTCGTGGCTACACCCAGTCAGATTCGGTTTCCGGTTCAAGGTTTCGACAAGAAAATTTAATCCATGGTTTTTCTCAATACGAAAATTTTCTGACTTGGAATTTCACATAGGCTAAGGCAATAGCAAGAGAAGAGTTTTCTACAAAATGTGTACAAATGGGGTTCATTCCAAACAAGCTTTTTCGTTTTACACGAATTCAAAAGTTTCAAGGTCTAAGAAATAACAGGGCATAAAACCGAGTTCCAAGTCCACTACCTTATTCCAACTACACACTCTAACACGCTAAAAGATCCAACGCCAGAGATAGGCAAAAAAATCCTCAAAGGGAATCTAATGCGGCTCTCCAGTCGTGAATGGTACTAGGTCAGCGGCTCTATTTGAGGCACCAACTAGCTAGCTCACTTCGGCTATTCCGACTAACAGCGTCGACTGTCACGTCAGCTCTTCCTCCGGTAGCTAATCATGCCAGCAGTTCTGAACGAGCTCCACTCATCTGTACTGCCCAGAGTTTCACTCCTCAAGGTCTAGACGAGAGTCTTCTTTCATCGAAATGACCTCGATCACGTCTTCGGGTATTTTCGCTACGTCTAGGCGTTCTTAGAAATAGACTATGACGTCGCTACAGAATTACAACCAGACATTTTGTCGCAGTCGCCATTGCAGTACTTAGCACGAAAAGAATCACTATTCGACTACAGATATTCTTGTCGGGTTCCAGAGTCCGTTTTGATACGTCGACTCCTTGATCTTCGGCTGACGGTACCTCGACTTTGAATCGGTTTTCAATGATTTTGCAGTTGCCCTCAGTTGATTGAATAGGTCTTCACCTCGTGATAGTAGTTGATCATCCTGCATTGTCCATCGGTTAGGTTTACGGTTGCCGATGTGCAGCATTCTTTGCCATGAAACAGATCGGCTCCTCCGACGTTCAGGTTGGTTGTAACTCGCCTTGCTTATCTGGTGGCCTTCTTTGTTGTTCCTCCAGACTACTCCTAGGTGCACCCAGATGATTGGTGCATCTCAAAAATGGTCCAATTCATCCACGATAACAATAAAAATTATTTGGTTCGGATGTATGGAATACCCAAACACAACTAAAAGAATGATATAAGACAAGCAGAAAGCTAGAAACACTTGTCTTAATTGGTACATCAGATCGTAAAACTTGATCTCGGAACTCCAAGTGAACAAGAAAACAAAGACAAGGGTTTTCAAAGGTTTTGCAAAAGTTCAAGGAAGTGAAAGATTTCTCCCGAAGGCCAAAACGAAATAAAAGAACGAAAATTTGTCAAAGTTTACAACGAAACGTAAGTTCGAGAATACAAGTGGCTCTACGCTTTACAATGCACATGCTCCAAGCTCGACTATTCTCCTTAAAAGATCATTCATAATCCTTTAAGGTAATACACATTCCTTGTATTATTCGACGACTCCCAATCGGGGAAAAACTATTTTCGATGCGACACACGATTTAATTACTCCTCCAACTTCCATGAGCAGGACATGTCTGAGTCTATCCGCCAAAAGCCGCTATTTGATGCGACCGACTCGGCGTCTAGCTCCAATCAGCAGGACGAGCAGTATACCGAGCTTTCTTAAGAGCAAACTCCGCGATTCCTATGCCAACGCCGAGCAGACCTCCCAAAATCCCGATAATGCTGCCCTTTGAGGCTGTTGTAACATTATTTTTGCTGAAAATGCTTTTATATTTTGAATGAATGAATATTTTTGCATTGCTGGTATTCGCTAATTTTGTCTTTCCTATCGTTTGCTTGTTAACACCTTACTCTTGTATACTGCCTTCATTGTTTGTCACAAACTTATTCTGTTTCCTTTAATCGTAATAAATTTTATACCATTAGACACACCGTTCCCACCTTTTCAGAGGTGGTCGAAACATGCGACCATCCGGTCTTTCGGCCTTAATCATGATGGATTTTATGCCCTTGAACGCATACCCACCTTTTCAAAGTTGGTCGAAACATTCGACCATCCAGCTTTTCGGCCTTAATCATGATGGATTTTATGCCCTTGAACACATGCCCACCTTTAGAAAGGTGGTCGATACATGCGACCATCCAGCCTTTTGGCCTTAATCATGATGGATTTTACGCCCTTGAACACATGCCCACCTTCAGAAAGGTGGTCGATACATGCGACCATCCAGCCTTTCGGCCTTAATCATGATAGATTTTACACCCTTGAACATATGCCCACCTTCAGAAAGGTGGTCGATACGTGCGACCATCCAGCCTTTCAGCCTTAATCATGATGGATTTTACGCCCTTGAACACATGCCCACCTTAAAAAAGGTGGTCGATACATGCGACCATCCAGCCTTTCGGCCTTAATCATGATGGATTTTACGCCCTTGAACACATGCCCACCTTCAGAAAGGTGGTCGATACATGCGACCATCCAGCCTTTCGGCCTTAATCATGATAGATTTTACACCCTTGAACATATGCCCACCTTCAGAAAGGTGGTCGATACGTGCGACCATCCAGCCTTTCAGCCTTAATCATGATGGATTTTACGCCCTTGAACACATGCCCACCTTAAAAAAGGTGGTCGATACATGCGACCATCCAGCCTTTCGGCCTTAATCATGATGGATTTTACGCCCTTGAACACATGCCCACCTTCAGAAAGGTGGTCGATACATGCGACCATCCAGCCTTTCATCCTTAATCATGATGGATTTTTACTCCCTTGAACACATGTCCACCTTCAGAAAGGTGGTCGAAACATGAGACCATCCAGCCTTTCGGCCTTAATCATGATGGATTTTACTCCCTTGAACATATGCCCACCTTCAGAAAGGTGGTCGAAACATGCGACCATCCAGCCTTTCGGCCTTAATCATGATGGATTTTACTCCCTTGAACACATGCCCACCTTCAGAAAGGTGGTCGATACATGCGACCATCCAGCCTTTCGACCTTAATCATGATGGATTTTACGCCCTTGAACACATGCCCACCTTCAGAAAGGTGGTCTATAAATGCGACCATCCAGCCTTTCGGCCTTAATCATGATGGATTTTACGCCTTTGAACACATGCCCACCTTCAGAAAGGTGATCGAAACATGCGACCATCCAGCCTTTCGGCCTTAATCATGATGGATTTTTCTCCGCGCAACATGCCATTGAGGTTACTCCAAACATTCCAAGTAAAATAAATTGCTATGCGAACAAATTATGGGGCTTGCAAATCGTTAATCAGGAGTAAAGAAGTCGATTACATCATTTTTGAAAGTTTGCTAGAAAAGAAAAATTTAAGCATAATATCTCTTCAAGTTAGCCACATTCCATGACCTGGGGAGTGACCTTCCCTCTGCATCCTTGAGCGAGTATGCTCCTCCAGCATGGACTTTTTCGACCAGGTATGGCCCTTCCAATTTGGTTCCAGCTTCCCGACATGTTTCAGCACGTCGACCCCTCTTCTAGACCAGGTCACCCACTTGGAATCTTCTGACTTTCACCTTCCTGTCATGTGCCGCTCGCATCCTCTGCTTGTATGCTTCAACCCTGATTGCAACTCGTTCCTGAAGTTCTTCAATTGTGTCAAGGGCTGCCATCATCAGATTCTCATTCTGCTCGGGATCATATGTGCTCGATCTCTGGGATTGGACCTCGATCTCAACTGGAAGTAGTGCCTCCATGCCATAGACCAGACTGAATGATGTTTCCCCCATTGTCGACCTTGGCGTTGTTCGGTATGCCCAAAGTACTGAAGTGAGTTCGTCAACCCATGCACCCAACGCCTTCTCCTATCTTGTTTTTAGACCGTTCAATATGATCCTGTTGGTCACCTCGACTTGTCCATTGGCTTGAGGATGAGCGACCGATGCGAAATGTTGCTCGATCTTCATGTCCTCACACCATGCTCGAATCCGCTTGCCATTGAATTGTGTTCCACTGTCGGACACCAACACCTTTGGGACACCAAATCTACAACAAACACTGTTATATAAAAATTGTATGACTTTCTCCTCCGTGATCTTGGCCAATGGTTCAGCCTCCACCCATTTTGTAAAATAGTCCACCACCACGATCAAGAATTTCCTTTGTCCTGTTCCTTGCGGCATTGGTCCCACTAGATCGATACCCCATTGCGCAAATGGGATAAGAGCACTCATCGTTGTCATCATCTCGGCTGGTTGGTGGATGAGTGGTCCGTGTTTCTGGCATTGTAATCATTTCCTCACCATCACCTTGACATCCTCCTTCATAGTCGGCCAGAAATATCCTGCCCTCAAGATCTTAGCCACCAGGGATCCCGCTTTGCTATGATCACTAAAGCACCCTTCATGAGTCTTCCTCAGCACATATGAACCCTCTTCTCGTGTGACACATCTCAAGTGAGGTTCCGCATATGACCGTTTGTACAACACTCCTCCATATTCGAAAAATCTCCTCATCACTTTTACCTCTCCTTCTCTCAACTCCTTCATTATCGAGGCTCTCCAATCATTGACCTCCTCTATCTCGATCACCTCCCCTTCGACCACACTGTTCTCCATGTGCAGCAAAGTTACATTCCTGCTCTTACAGTCGACCAGACTCTGTGCTATTTTGGATTACAAATCTGCTCGACCATTCTCCCCTCGAGGTATCTGCACTAGCTCGAATGAGCTAAACTCCTCTTGCAACCTCTTCATCTCCTTTACATACTTCTGCATCCTCTCCTCCTTTATTTCAAAGTCCTCCTGGAACTGGCCGACTACCAATTGAGAATCAAAATGCCCTTGAATCTTTCGAGCTCCTCCCACCATGGACAATTGAATTCCTTTAATGACCGCCTCATTATTCGACACTTGATACTCGACTTTGACTGCAAATTCCAAGCTATCTCCTTTGGGCGAAATCAACACAATGCCCAGACCTCCTCCGACCTTTGACCTCGAGCCATCCACGAACATCTGCCAAACTCCTTCCAACTCTTCCCCGACTTTTGTACCCTCCTGAATGAAATCAGCCAGTGCTTGCGCTTTGATCGCCCTTCTGGGCTCATACGCTATCGTGTATTCGCTCAGCTCGACCGCCCACTTTACTAGCCGACCCGATATAGAGGGCCGACCTAATGTCTCTCCCAGCGGCATGTTCGTCCGCACCTTCACTTTGTGGCTAAAAAAATAAGGCCGCAGCTTCCTTACTGCCACGACTACCGCCAAGGCACACTTCTCGATCTCCGAATACCTCCTCTCCGTGCCTTACATCACCCTACTCACATTATAGATCGAAAACTGAACCACTCCCTCCTCTCGCAGTAGTACCGAACTCACCGCCGTTTCACCGATAGATATGTATAACACCATGTCCTCTCCATGTACCGGCTTGGCCAACAAGGGCAAGTTGGCTAACACCTTCTGCAGTTCCTCGAATGACTTCTGCGCCTCTTCCGTCCATTGAAATTTCGAGCTCTTCCTCAATGTTCGAAACAGTGGGCCACTCTTCTCCGCCACCTTCGAAATAAAATGACTCAGCCCCGCAATTCGACCAGTCAGGATCTGCACCTCCTTCACCTTCGTGGGCGGTTTTATTTCGATCACCGCTCGCACCTTTTCCGGGTTTACTTCAATTCCTCTCTTTGTCATCATATATCCCAGAAACTTTCCCGACTTCACGCCAAAAGAACACTTAGAAGGATTCAACTTCATACCATACCTCCGCAAAGTAAAGAATGTTTCCTTCAAGTCGTTCAGATGATCGACCTCCTCCTTGCTCTTTGATATAGTCACATAAGGATAACCCGGCCTAAGAGGCTTCCTACTCGACCGGTGAACCATTTGAACGACTCACATATCGAGGTGATTCGTCGACATGTTCGAGTCGACTTCCCTGAAGTCGACTTTACCGAAAACAATCAAGAAGAGGCAGAAATTGGTTTAGTCGACTCCCACAAGTCGACCTCTAACTATCGACTTCTGCTAGTCGGCCTCATACTAGAAGGACATCAAGAATGCAACTCCCAACCATCCAGATACTCTAAGTCGACTTCCACTAGTCGACTTCCTCATGACGACTCTCTAAGAGATGACCACCGCAGGGAGTTAAACCAGGTGTAGCCTCCGAAACCGTATATTCGTAAGTCGACCTCTTAGTCCTCGAGGTCGACTCTGTACCTCTCGAGGATCAAAGGGGTGAAGACGATTCACCACACTTGCAACATATCCAAAGCTCTACACATTACCGAGGATAAGAAGGAATCTTGCGATGACTCAGCAACTAAGGGGAGACGAATCGACAGGGGCATTTTGGACCTTCTAGGTCCACCGACTTGGGCATTTTGGGCACTTCAAGTAAGTATTCACTCCTATATAAAGGAGGCGAGGTAACCCAAACCCTAATTCTCATTCATTCCCACTCTCCCCCATAGCTGCTGCGCAGCCTCTCTTCATCACTCACATACTGACTTGAGCGTCGGAGGCTCTACGCCGGAAACACCTCCGGCGTTGAGTTTTTGCAGGTATTCTCGCGGTCTAACAACGAATTGGAGGCGGTTCAAGCAGATCTGAGCTCATAACTATCGGTTTACTTCAGATCCGGAAGTAGACTCATCATTTGGCGCCGTCTGTGGGGAATTCTTAAAGGAAGGAAGAGCTTCACACCCAGCTCCGATCTGTTTGCTGATGGCGGAGAAGGAAGGTCTGCAGAGGAACTTGAGCGAGGAGTTCAGAGGGACGTG